GTGTTGTTATCTGCAATTTTTATCATGTACACTTAAGAAGAAAATTACCAAAAAGATCTAAAATTGAATTGAATTTTCAACAATAGGCAACATTTGATTGAAATAAAATAATGTAAAATAAATCATTATTTTGTAATTAATCTCAGAAGCAAAATAATGTGTATGTTTCTTAAGAGTTTTTAAATTTTTGAAACTTTTGTTTGAAAATGTTCCATTAAAAATCCGAACATTTCCTCTAATTTTATAATAATAAACTTATTTATTTTTTACAATAAATGCAGTATAGTTTCAGTAATTATAATAATTTAATTTATGTTATTCATTCAACAGTGTAGACAATTTAAACAATGATTAAAATGTTATTTATGGCTGTACTAAGCAGTACTAAAGTTAATACAATTACATAAGGGTAATACATACATAAGGTTAATACATCCTTATGTAACGTTATATAAGAATGTATTGCAACGTAAAATTTAATGGTTGGATTCATTTAAAATAAACTGAAATTATTTAGATATCAATTAATATTTAGTGATACTCAATAACTAATAGACTCTTCTTTAATTTCTATACTTTTATATTCTATTATTATTTAAAATTGCCACAACATATACACTGATGTTATTTATCTGACATGAAATTTACATAACTCAATCTGTTATTTTTATTAGAAATCTGAATACAACAAATTAAATCGCAATTTATTACATGCATTCTTATAAGAAATGCTAAAATTAACTTATTATCTATAAAAATAAAAATATTGTTTTCTTTTTCTTTCTCTTTTAGGCTTATGAAGCACAGACCCACAATTCCTAGGATCCTGGATCCAAGATCTTAAGTCCCTGGATCTTGCTCTTAAATTCGGTGTCCCGAATTCCAGGTTCCTTTGATATTAGCATACGGACCTCCAGCTAATGCAATCCATACTCTACGTATATCTTAAGATAAACAATAAGTTGTCCTAACAAAATCTTATTTTCTTGTATTTCCCTATAATAAATTAATAGATATGTACTCAGAAATTGAAACCGAAATCGTTGTGATAAGTTACTATAAATATACACTGAAGTGACAAAAGTCATGGGATACCTCTTAATATCGTGTCGGCCCTCCTTTCGCCCGGCGAAGTGCAGCAACTCGACGTGGCATGAACTCAACAAGTCGTTGGAAGTCTTCTGCAGGAATATTGAGCCATGCTGTCTCGATAGACGTCCATAATTGTGAAAGCGTTGATGGTGCAGGATTTTGGGCACGAACAGACCTCTCGATGATGTCCCATAAATGCTCGATGGGATTCATGTCGGGCAATCTAATTGGCCAGATCATTCGTTGGAATTGTCCAGAATGTTCTTCAAACCAATCGCGAACAGTTGTGGCCCGGTGACAAGGCGCATTGTCATCCATAAAAATCCCATCGTTGTTTGGGTACATGAAGTCCATGAATGGCTGCAAGTGATCTCCAAGTAGCTGAACATAAGCATTTCCAGTCAATGTTCGTTCCAGTCGCACCAGAGGACCAAGTCCATGCCATGGAAAAACAACCCACACCATTACGGAGCCACCACCAGCTTGAACAGTGCCTTGCTGACAGTTTGGGTCCATGGCTTCGTGGGGTCTGTGCCACACTCGAACCCTACCATCAGCTCTTACAAACTGAAATCATGACTCATTGGACCAGGCCACGGTTTTCCATTCATCTAGGGACCAACCGATATGCTCACGTGCCCACGAGAGTTGCTGAGAGTTGCTGCGATTTCCGAAATGGCATGAGCCATGCGTCTAGCTCCAACTAACATTCCGCGTTCAAAGTCTGTTAATTCCCGTCGTGCGGTTATCATCACGTCAAAACTTCTTCACATGAATAACTTGAACAGAAATTTAAGCTCTGCGAAAGCACTGCGCATTTATACCTGTTCTACGCGATGCTACTGCCCTCTGAAAATTTGCATATTGCTATCCCATGACTTGTGTCACTTCAGTGTATATTCTTAGTATAAAAAAATAGATTCCTTGGATCTAGGTCTCAAGATCTTGAGTCCTTGGATCTTACCCTTAAATCATGTGTCCTCAATGTCTGGATCCTTTTATTTTGCCATTGAATACGGACCTCCTGCAATTCGTACTCTACGTATATCTTAAGATAAACAATAAATTGTCATAACAAAATATTATTTTCTTGTATTTTACTACATTAATTTAATAGCTATGTTCTCCGAAAATGAAACTGAAATTGTTATGATAAATTATCATAAATATATTCTTTGTCTGAAAAGTGGATTCCTTAGATCCTGGTCCCAAGATCTTGAGTCCTTGGATCTTACCCTTAAATGTGGTGCCCCCCCTTTTATCTTGCTATTGGATTAGGACCTCCAGCTACTGCAATACATACTCTACGGATATCTTAAAATAAACAATAAGTCGCCTTAACAAAATATTATTTTCTTGTATCTTATTACATTAATTTCATAGCTGTGTACTCAGGAATTAAAACTGAAATCGGTGTGATTCGTTATTATAAATACAGGGGGTTATCAAAATCATGGAACCACCTGTGAATAAAAGTGACATTTTTGAACGCGCTTCGTAAACATTATATATATAATAATATCTACCAGTTTATTTTAAAAATAAAAATTTATATATTCTAGTAGTATGTGGTAGCTTTATTAAAGTTATGTAAGTCTTGGATATCAGTCTTCTCAGTTTTCATAACAAAATATTATTTTCTTGTACCTTACTTTAGTAATATACTAGCTATGTACTCAGAAATTGAAACTGTTATCGTTATGATTCGTTATGAAATCGTTATGTTTCGCTATTATAAATATATTCTTAATATAAAAAGTACCTTTAATTATTATTATTGCTAAACGTTTTCAAGAAATCCAACTCCTTCAAATTCCAGCTTGAGGAAGGAAAAATGAGCATTTAATAGCTTCAGAATAATCATGTTTAAATAAATATGCATATTCCCTTTAAGGATGCGAGGACATCCATTTTCACAATGAAAAAGAATCTTACGTATAATTAAATGCAGTTCCTTGGGAACCTGCATAATGAATTAAAAGACTTGGTTCAACGACTAGACCTTAATGATGGTTCTCTTTACATTCCACTAAAGGAAACTAAATAAAGAAGCTATGTAAGTTATTAAAATTTCCCTTTTACTTACTTAACTAATAATGTCACTTTCATGATACTGTTATGACTATAAAATATATTTATGTTTTCGGCATAAATCTATTACTTGTTTTCCTTAAGTATTTGGATAAAATATAACCAAATTGCATAATTTTGGAAATTAAAATGATAGTCACAAGTATACTAATACTTTGGAATTTTGGTTTAATTATGAACAATTCACTATTCTTATAAGAACTATTACGAAATTGTATGACTATTTTTTTTTTGGAAATATTGGCTTAAATCGTTTAATATTACTATGCTTACAAATCTCAGAAAACTGAAATATTATTGTATATATGACGTTACAGCGTCTTGATGGCCTAGTAACTAGCTCTCTGACATTGGGTGTCACAGGGTTCGAGTCTCGGCAGTGCCATGGATGATTGTAGTGGTTCGGAATGCACTTTAAAACGTAGCTCCTTGTTTCATGACTGTAGAATGTTAGGGGTAGTGCTGACAAACCTAGGCAGACGACCTTGGCTCACCATGAGGTTGTTGTGCCAATGAAGAAGATATGATGTTATATATACTCGTCATACATCATATTTATGATATATGACGAGTTCTTTGTATCCATTCTGAGAACTCTTAATTTATTGATTGTTCTCTTTTCTTCAATAAGATTTCTGAAATGGGGTGAGAAATGAAAGAATCCATCAAGGAAGTCAAAACTGATTATCTATCTATTAGTGTACAGTTGTGTATAATGTTTGTTATAATTTATAATATATAATTATACTTTTAAGGGCTCTAAAATAAAAAAAAATAAAAAATATGTCATTTTAAAGCATCTTGATAACGTTGAATATATTTAAATTACTTTTTTAGAAGTAAATTAGCGTGGTAATCAAGTGTATGGCAATATAGAAAAAAATATTTATTTCAAAGTATTAAAAACTATTTCTCTGTCAATAACAGTGATAAAAAAGGTAGTAATAATTAAACTATATTTGTTTAGAACTCAATTGTAAAGAATATAATGGGATAATTGCAATATAATTTCATTTCCATACTATTGAAATCATGGATAATCGTTTTGGAAATTAAATATTTTAAAATTCCAACAATAGGAGAAAAGGTGATCCTGCTGATGAATTTTGGGTTAAAACAGATGTATAAAATAAAAAGTAACGTTTAACGTGATAGACTATACAAGACAATAACCTATTTTAAACAAATTTCTAATAGATCACCATTTCCCAGATTTCTGAAAAATTTTTGAACAATTATGTTTCTAAAACCAGACTAAAACTCTACAATTTTGAAAATTATACGCTAATTAGTTTACTGATCTGCGTGAATAAATATTTGAAAAATTACTTCATATTTATATTCAAGCTTTCTAAGCTAAAACTACATTTTTTCAGTGGAAAAATTCAGATTACAATCAATACACTCCACCAATTACCAATTACTGTGAATTACAACAATTCAGATCTCAACACAACAATTTATGGCTTCATCAATAATTACATTATTGTGAGCTGGAAAAGCAAAAAAAAAAAAAACATTTTATATATGTTGTTGTTGTTTCTTATCCCACTTGGCAGACATTTCTAGGCCAAGCCCACGAGCCCATACGTACTCATGATTGAAGGGGAAGGAAGCAGCTTCTGTTGTGATATAGGTAGAAGCCTGACTTTTGCTCAGTGACGCTCTTACAGTCATATGACCGGGACCTACGGCTTAAAGTGGATTCCGAACCACTACAAACATCCATGGCACCACCGGGACTCGAACCCGAAACCTGTGGCACCGAGCACCAGAGCACTAGACACTCGGCCATTCAGGAACAATTTTGAATTGCCAACGGCACGCGGTTTTAGGTGGTCACCCTCCCATTGACCGCGCCCGATGATGCTTGACTTCGGTGATCGAACGAGAACCGGTATATTCAGCATGGTATAGCCGTTGGATTCATTTTATATATAATGGCACAATGGGCTGGTCTACGGAATAATAAAACTGAACTTTTTTTTCTCATTCGAATTATCATTCAATAAAAAACAGAAATATAATTTATATCTGCTTAAGTAATTCCAGTAAATGATTCCATCAATGCTGTAACACCCTAAGTAAGACTCCTCAGTCCTATTTTAAACAGTATTTAAACTTACAACATCTTTCCAATGTTGTTGTTGTTGTTACCTATGACTTTATTAGAACTCAAATTTGGCCACATCCAGTAAAAACAAAAAGGAACTTATAAACACATTAAAACTACAAAGGGGAAAGATGGGATTATTCACAAAAAGACCAAAAGGCCTTAAAAACAGTTAAAAGCAAGCTAAATGTTCTAAGGACAAAATTTTAATCCCGAGCAAATAAGTAGATGGACCAAATTCATCTCCGTCTTGCATAAAACACACACACATACATATATATATATGTTTTATATATATCAGTTTATATATATATCAGTGTTCACAATCCCTATTTTGGCCAGATTGTGCCAAGAGTACTTTAAAATTTTTAAAAATGTTTTGGAAGAATGAAAATTTCTGCTGAAAATTATGGTTAACATAGATAAATCTAAAGTAATAATATTCCGAAAAGTCTAATCCACAGCACCTCTTGATGTTCTCTCTCAATTGAAAAAAGAAATGAGTTGGTAAGCGAAATCAAATAGCTCGGACTTACATTTTGACAACAAAATTACATTAGGCCGAAAATAAATCTTAGAATAAGTTACGTCTAAATATACTTCTCATTGGCATTCCATCTTTACGTATTGATTTTCACATGGGAGTTGATAGCTAAATCAAACAAAAAATAAGTTTCAAATTTTACAAAATTAGATTTTAAGGTTCATTACAGGTGTTCCTTGTTATATTCAGTTTTTCCTAACGACCTTAATAGTAAAACAAAATAAATTCAAGCCTAATTCAAATCTTAATATGCCATTGTTTCAGCAGAAAAACTCAGATTTCAACCAATGCATTCCACCAATTACAGTAAATTCAGCTCTCATTCCAACAATGAGAGCTTCAACAATGATTTCATTATTGAAGGATGGACAAACAAAAATCTTTTATAGATTTATTTATAATTTATTTAAAATAAAACAAATCTACAATGCATACAAAATCTACAATGTCTTAATTAATCCTACAAATCTTTTCATCCAAGCTTAAAGATTCTTCAACAGCTGTACTGGAAGACATAAACATCCTTACTCTACCACCAAATGGACAATAACCCTTAAGCCACAATAAACCTTAATCATCAAGAGAAACTTCAATAAAGATTACTTAGACTCCCACAACATCATAAAGAAAAAAAAGAACCCAGCGGTTAGATCAAACGGATGAAGCAGGTGTACAGAAGATAAAACTCTCACGTCACTCCTTTCAAATATGTTAGTATTTCAGTTACTGTTACTCGGTACTTTTATTAGTACATTTTATATATTTTTTTATATTTTTCAATTATTTATTGCTTTTATTCTTGACTGGTTTATCTGGTTAACTGGTTAACTGGTTTTTCTTTTTTTCCTTTTGGTTAAACTCTCTGTTGATCCTCCTAAGAAACTCATTTTTTTTGTAATTTCATTCCGAGCAAATTTATTACAATCGGGAAAAAATATAATATTTAGTAGACTAATATTGAACGAAATATACAGAAATATTCCATAGCAAATCTTAATAAAACTTTACTAACAAAGAAATGAAATTGCTCCTACTACATTGTGTGATATATACTTTAATTTTTACTGGATTTACTTTTGGATTACTAGTAGTGGAATTCTAATTCTTAGATGATTTGGTTTGGTTTGTCGCTCTACGGTAATTTTTTGCACACATTAAGGCTAATTAGACCATTACGTACAGTTTAAGGATTCCGAACCACTAATAAACATCCATGCCATCACCAGGATGAATGAATATTGAAGATTAATGGTTAATAACAATTACAGATTTACGAGAATTAATATCATATTTTGGAAAGTTTGGAACTTTACCAGTTTTATGGAAGAGAGAGTACAAACTATTAGAACAAACCAGAATTTAAACTGTTGCTACTGCCATGTACGATTCAACAGTGGGAACAAGCAGTGCATGCACAATATCTAGGTTACTGGATGTTTTGTATACGAAAGTAGGGAAAATCATGAGTAATTCACACATTAATTTTAGTCTTATAAAATTGGAGTTGAGAATTGCTTGAAGGTGATGTAATAGCTCTCTTGGAAGTTGATTCTGATGGTCTTATGTTATGGAGTGATTAAGTCCATTTTCATTTTAATGGTACAGGAATATCCAAAATATTGCCGTGTTTGAGAGTCAGAAAATTATCAGTGATGCAAGAGGTTGCAATGATTTCTTCAAAAGCAACTGTTTGGTGGAGTTCATAAGCCACAGTGGATTCGTCAAGGAGAAGTGAAGAGAGGAGAAGTGAATGAAAAAGAAGTGAAAAGGATTGTGAAGATGTGAGGAGATGTACATACGGAATCCATCAATGATATATTGAATAATGCAACTTAACTTCCTTATTCCTGATCTCCAACAACATGGATGTTTACAATCTGTTGTCTTTATGAAGAATGGATAACTTCCCTGATAAGATCCCTTGTGTAAAAAGTTTTACGATGGCATTTTACCAACGACTACGTGATCAGTCATACATTTCCTACAAAGTAGTCATAACTTTTGCCTGACCTTACTCTTTGATTTTTTGTAGTGGTGTCATCTTAAATAGTCTAAAGATGTGAGTGAATTAGACGATTCGAAGAGTTGAAGAGCATTGGTCATTGACAAATTGATAAAAACATGCTGCAATCTGTAGAGTTGAAAGTGTTATTTTGCGATTGAACATGGTACAACATATGCAAGGAAATCTGCTCCTTTGTTTGGAGAATATTTCGGACTTCAACCACCTCCCCCAAAGAAACAGGACTACAGGATAATTGATGGTTTCATTGAACTATCAAAAATGCAGTTTGCATAATGTATTGTATAAAAGCAGTTTCCATGGATCAGTCAAGGGAGCCTTTGGAAATTACTGTCGGAGAAACATGCTGAGTGCTTAATTTATATATCTTTCTTCGAATTCCATAAGTTAAATCTGATTCCCGAGTTGGGTGATTTACTTTATAATAAAAATATTGATTGTTGGAAAGGTTCTTATTTATTGTTTTATTCAAACTGTTTTCCACAGAGAAACAAATTCACAGTGAACATAATTTATGAAATAGGAAAATAAATTGTAAAAAATAATTTCTGAATTGTAAAGCCGACAACAGTTGCAATTGTGTAAAAAATCCGTTAAATGTAAAAGAAATATGAAAAATAGCTTCCTAAAAATATTTCGTTGTCAAATATTAACCGCATTTTTTTAAAGTTTTTATACATATTTTAGTACTTCAAATCAGCGTCCAGTGTCTATTTTTTCTGGAGTCAAATTTAAACTATTTTATCCTTATGAACAGAATACCAAGGTCTATATGGACTATTCAAAACACAGAACTATTCTATATAAACTATTTCAAATCACAGTTTGGAGAACAGAATCCTCAAACTGTATAGAGAGTAGCAAACTATTCAAAATAGTTTACAAGAAATAATTCAAAATAGTTTACAAGAAATAATTCAAAATAGTTTACAAGAAATAATTCAAAATAGTTTACAAGAAATAATTAAAAAAATACTTCAAAGCTATAATTAAAATACAAATCCTAGACTAAATCCTGATAACCTTCACATATGTTCTTTTTAATTAAAAAAAATTTATTCATTCAATGGAATGTAAACAATACAATCAATTTTTATTTTTTATTATATTTTTAATTTTCATTGATCAGAAAAATTTTTTTCTAGTTATTTGAATGAGTTTATTAAAATTACTAGAAATTATTCCTCCACCACTATAAAGTTATTCATTCAAGAAAATTCCAAGCAAAGATTTCAATCCATTCCAAGAAATCCATTTCGAAAATTTTAAAATTCCAATTCATGTATTAAAAAATGTGTTAAGCTTATTTCACACACCAACAAAAATTTATATAAATTATAAGAGCGCATACATTATGTATTGTTAAGAACTAATTGGATGTTAACTATTTTTATGGATTTAAAAATGCAATATTCAAATACTGGCCAACATTAATACACTTCAGAATCTACCTCTTTAATATACCAATAAATCCGTTCAATAAAAGGCAACATCCAGTGGCATCTCTTATTTTTACTTTAAGTATTTTTTTTTAGTTTTTCATTGCATTTAAATCATGGTTCAACATAATGCACTTTACATTCTATGCGCCTTTTAATTATACAAATAAATTAATTCAATAAAACGCAACCATTTCAGTCTTTATTGCATCTCTTTTTTTAATTTTAATTTTCCATTATTCCGAAAGCAGTCCTTTTCAATTTATTTCGATAAGCATTTAATTAAAGTTACGAGAGATTGTTCTCCGCCACCACTCCGAACTTATTCATTCAAGAGAATTCCATGTTTCGCAGAAATCTTTGCAAAACGTACCTCAAACCAGATTAAACGGAGAATAAGAAATCACTCCAGATCCACTACTAAAAAAAAAAAAAGGAAGAGAGAGAAAAAAAAAAAAAAAAGAAAAACTAAAAGAAAGGTCGGGTCTGTTTCCTGAATACGATCTGAAATCCTTCCAAGAAAATAAAGAAAAGTTCAATTAAAGACCTATTCCTGGAAGTATTAAGGTTGAAAAGGGGGAAAAGAGGTAAGGATTTCAAACTCCGGAAAAGTCTTGGAAAGAAAGTGTTAATGGAACTGCTTTCTCAAGTCAGAACCTTCGGACTAACAAAAAGAAATCACAATTTTTTTTCTCTCTTTCTTCTTTTCTTTTCGTTATTTTCTTCTTCGACATTTTTTTCCTTGTATGTGAAACCCGTGGTCCTGAATCATTTTCTCCCCTTCTTCTATTTGTCATGTCTC